GGGCCCGCGGGGCTCCATCCCGCCACTCCCCGTGCCCACTGTCTGCGTCCGCGGCGGAGCCGGCGCCTCCTTCCCGCCGTGGTCCCGAACTCGCTGCCCCCGCGCCGCCGCTGTGCGCCAGCTGCGCTCCGCCGCCGGCGCTTAGGAGGTTACACCGCTGGCAGGGGGTGTCCTTGTCGAGGAAAGGAATGGCAGCACTGTTCGCGACGTCCGGAGGAATGCCACCTACGGCACCCTCGCGGACACCGCCCACCCCTTGCGGAGTGACGGTCGCCAGGACAGCCTCAGCCCCGAGTGTAGAGTGAAGCTGAGCGCTGCGGAGTGAGCGCTGACCAGCGCCTTCCCGCGCAGAGAGCGGACGCGTGCAGTCTGTACCTTCGGGCGCGGAGCGCACCCCTTCCGGGCCGGCGGGCGGGCCGGGCGCCCCGCGGGACGGTGAACGCCGCGGTCCAGCGGGCTGCCTGTTACCAGCGGCGCCCCGCCGGCCGCTCCCCATAACCTGCTCCGAAAGCCAAAATCGAGACAGCAGGGATCAGAGGAGGCTGCGGGAAGTGCGTGCGCGTCCCGCAGGGATGGGAACTGGGCGTTGGACCCGCCCCGAGAGTGCGCCTTCTCTGAGCCTCCGAGGTTTCAGACTCGGGAGCTTTGCCACGGAGGAGTGTGTCCCCACCACCTGCCGCCATGTGGTGCTGACACTGTCCAAGTTTTCAAAAGAAGCCGAGATCCAGATTTAAAAAAGAAAAATAAGTTCCCCCAAATTGCATATTTGGCAATTTTAAAAATAGAATTACTTTCCAAAGCGAGTGACAGCCTGCAAACCACCTCCACCAGACTCTGGATTAAAGCCTATTTTGGTCATTGGCACCCTGAGGGTGAAGGATTTAAGGTAGCCCTCTGGTTGAAGCTGTAATTACATATTAACTGCATTGTTTGTTTCATTCATAGATTTGCTTGAGAAAATTTGAAGAAATCCAACGGAGATTACATGGAGATTAGAAGTCCCCATCCCACCCTCTCAATCATTCTAAGGCATTCCTTCCAAATTCAGTCTGTGGTAGCAGTTTGATTCTGTGCTTCTTGCATCCAAACTAGAAATCTGTATTAGCGCCCTAAAGAATATTAAACTTCCAAATACAGGAACTAGATATACTTGAGTTGATGCTGATCCAAAATGAGGGAATACAATCTGAAAATAAGTCCTTCCTGGCCACCAGCAAGGAAAGTCACAGAAAAAAAATTAAGTCACCTCCATGTCTTATCCAGGCCTAACCTCATTTCAGTCAGTGTCTGTCAAATTCCCATCTCTGTGTCTGGAACTGTGTGACTCACAGGATATTCCACCAGTATTTTCCCCTGATCCTCCTTGGATCCTAGCTGGCTGGAAGAGGAATGATGATTCCATTCCATGAGGCCATGGGCCCATGCCTGCCAAATCACCTTCTTTGCAGATTCAGTAAAGTGATGCTCTGCGTGATACCACCCATCACTGTCACAGAGTGCGGGACCAGCTTTACACAACTGACCTGTTGACGTCTTCTCTCGCCTTCATCCTATTAAGTCTAGCTTAATTAAGTCTCAACGAGGCCACTGCTCAGTGTCTGAGAATCCACTGTAGAAAAGGAGCTCTCCACCTAGATACAGCAAAGATGATACAGTCAAAGCATCCAGCAACTGTGAGTACTGCACCCGAAGGGTGGTGTCCACCCCCCACCCCCAGCCCAGGTCCTGTCTTGGCAGCTTCTGTTTAATGCCTTCTGTCAACCGGGGTGGTAGAAAGAGTATGAGACTAGAGTATCAGCTCAGGGATTGATTGATTAGTTATTTCATTTCATTTCTCTGGGTCCTAGTTCTCTCATTTTGAAGTAACAGTGTTGGCTAAAATGATCTGTAAATATTCTTCTGTTTCAATAAATTCTGATTCAGTCTCATTCCACAATCACAATTCGTGCTTCCAAAGCATTTAGTCAGTAGTACAAATACAAACAGCATCGTGACCATCATCATTCTACTGTCCTGTATTGTTGGGTTACTAGGTACTGTGAATGTTTAATTATACGATGGCAAAGTCTACATTTTTTTTGTTTTCATTTTTTTGAGACAGGGTCTTGCTGTGTGGTTCAGGCTGTTCTTGAACTCACTGTGTAGCCGAGGCTGGCCTCAAACTTATGGCCATCTTCCTGCCTCGGCCTCCCAAGTGCTGGGAGTACAGGTGGGTGCCACCATGCCTGGCTATGCCTACTTTTTAAAGCACAAAAAGGATTGCGATGCTTCTGAGCTTCAATTTTTAATCTTGTTTTTGTTACAAAAATATTCAAGCATACGAGAAAGAGTAGCGTAATAAAGTCCACATATCTATTACCTGTACTTAACATGTTTTTGCCAAATGTTTAAAATCTAATTCTTTTCTTTTCTTTTTTTTTTTTTGGTTTTTTCCTCCGGTTCCGGGAACCAAACTCACGACCTTGTGCTTGCCAGGCAGGCGCTTTTGCCACTGAACTAAATCCCCAGCCCCTTAATTTTTTTTTTCTTTGCTGTTTGGTCCTTTTAGGTTTTTCAAACCCACTACTCAAACAGTATGAACAATTCCTGCAGTTTTAGAGGATTTTTTTTCTGTGAAGGCTTAATTTGGCATCTCATAACTTTTCCCCAAACCTGAAACAGCTCATGTGAATTTATCTATTTCTTCTGTTTAAACAATGCATTTCCCTGCTGTACTGTTTCATTTCTCACATTTCTTGGTTGGTAAATGCTAAGGTATACAAGTTGTGGGAAGTTATGAGGATTTAATCAATGTAAGAGTGATTGATGAGAGTCTGCCAGGGAGTGGTAAAATAAGCTACCCATACCGCTTATTTTAAAGCATCTTGAGAATCCACTGCGCAACAAAAGTTGCATCAGATCCATCCATTGAAATGTTTCCTGAGCACCTACCAGGCTCTGTGCTCCTCTGTGTGCGGAAGACAGACAGAGGGACACAGCCCCTTATCAAGGCTTGGGAGGCACATAGGAACGTTGTCAATCACAGTTAAAGATGGTTATGCAAAAAGGTTGCCAAGTACAAAGTCAACTCTGAAGAACACTTTTACCGAGTGTAAAGAGGGAGATTTATGAAACAGAACCACACTAGCTCTTTCCTACGAATTAGAGAAGGCTCTAGCCACAGAAGAGACGTGAGGCCCACCTGTGCTCCCAGGTCAGCGGGGCCAGTGAACGCATGGATGTGTCCCTGCACTAAGTGCGGGCTGCGGAGGAGGCACGCGACACGCGGTTGCCTTTGGTCTGTGCACAGGTGTGTCTAGGAACATGAAGGGACCCAGTACCAAGAAGCTAGAGATGAACACAGGAGTCTTAGAAGCCGGAGTTTACCACAGGCCACCACTTGCATCTGTCTGGTCTGGGCAAAGGGACTCACGTAAGGGACACTGATAATAGATGTATTAGCTTTCTGTCCCTGGGACAAAATATTTGAGAAAAAACAACTTGAAGGAGCAAAGATTTATGGTGGCTCCTGGTTTCAGAGGATAAGTTTCAGAGGATAAGAGGTTTCAGTCCATAATCTGCTGGCCCCACTGTTTCTGTCAAGAGAGCCCGAGAGGAGGAGGCCAGGGATAAGATAGAGTACCATGGGCACACCCTTATGAGCCGCTCCCTGCAACTAGATCTCACCTCCCAAGTTTCCATCATCTCCCATCAACTGTGACTCCATCAGTGGATTAACCCACCAATGAAGTTAGAGTCCTCATGATCCAGTCACCTGCCAGAAGCCCCGTGTCTCAACACGGCCTCTTTAAGGACCAAGCATTCAACCCATGAGCCTTTAGGGGAACATCCCAAATCTGTACTGTAGCAACAAGAATCTCCAAAGAACCTTTAAAAGCCCCGTTTAAGGAAGAAATCAGTTTTAACTATCGGCCGGATATAGACCTAGCCTGCAAAACAACTGCCCTCCCCTCAGTCACCTGCCTCCTCCCACGTTCACACCGCAGATCAGGTGGCAGCGAGCTAGTGCAGGAGGGGTGGGTTCAGGAGAAAGCTGAAGGCAGATGGCCCCCAGCGCCAGCCTTATATGAGGGGTGGGGAGTGCCGCATGAGATAGACAGTTTACAATGAAGACTGAACTATTTGGCTACCATTTTGAGCTGGATACATTCAAATTACTAAATCTAGACTGTCTTGTTTATGTAAAGTGACCATCACTTAAAGGATTGTCAGATTATCAAAGAGTGAACCAAAAAGCTAAGATCTGCCCAAATTTCCATTCAGGGCAAGAGAAGATTATCCTTTCCCCTCCAATAAAAAATTTTTGAAAAATGCTGAACCTCCCGAAACAAATTTATGTTTTTAACACATTCCATGCATCTTGCATTCCAGATCTGGATTCCATCTCTACATATTTTAGTTGATTATTTCTGTTCTTTATGCTTTGATTACAGGTGATTCCAAGAGTTTTTTTTTTGGTTTTTTTATTCTGTGTCTCCCATAAGACTTTTAGGATTACTTTTTTCTTCTCTCCTCCGCTATTCCAGTTCTGCACTTAAGAAGTGTCTACTAGATGGTGTTGATTGATAGCGTGACTAGTGCTCCTATTTTGAGACGCTGGCATACATTTGAACTAGAAACTTGATGATGATGTTATGGTTGTAATGATGTTGCTGTTGCCGCTAAATATGAGTTAGTACCCAGACTTGGTGGGTAAATGCCATGCGGTATCCCAGGTAACAGGTCTGGTGTGCTGACCTTTGAGCTGAGTGTGCAATCCTTTCTCAAGTGAAAAGCTCCTTTCTTTCCCTGTGGCTCCAAATACTTTGGAGATTTTGGATGGACCTTCTTGAGTGACAGTGTGCTAGAGGAGAGGAATTCTTCCCGGTAACCTTCTCAGTGGTAACATGAAGCTTTTCACAGCATTTTTTTGGTCAATGGCCAGAACTCATCAAATGCTCTCAAGTTTCAGACCTTCTCTTTCGGGGCCACCTGGCTAATGTCAGCGATGGTTTCCTTCACCCCTTTTCCTAGAGAAAGGTGACTTACGTAAGGAAGGACTCTTTCCAAGTAAGTTCTCCTGTCACTAAAGAAAAAGAAGAGAGCCAAGCCCTTTTCAGCTCCTCTTCAGAGTGAAGGAGAGAAAAGGGATCACTCAAAATTAACAGAGTAGAGTAGAAAAATAAATCCAAATGTCAGACTTGTTGGCTATGTGGGAAAAATAGTGTTCCCTCATTAATAGAGTCATGTATCTTTTACAGGGAAGTTCTTCAATTTTTGGTGTTATCATGTGTAGCATATTCTTTATATCTGACCATATAAGATCATACAAGCACTATAGGGACCAAGGTTTCAGTTCTAATAGTAGCATTAGTCTCTTTACCCAGCTAAGCAAGTTACATCATCTAAGTCTCAGCTTACTGGGGCCCATGGAGATGAGAGAACAACACTACCCCAAGAGCTAATGTCACAAAACCTAGAACATTTATGAAAAGGGATTTTATAAAAGGCATACATATTAATTATTGTCTATACCATTTTTGCATTAATTTATATTTATTCAAAGAGGTTACCAAATGCCCTCCTAGTTACATGGTCAGCATCAGTGAAGCAAACACTTAGATTTCCTGTATTCATCTCCCCCGCAGCACAGTTCCAAACACACAGTAGGCATTTGTTACAGGCAAACTGAATTGAACTAGAGTAAACTGATCTCCCAAAGGCAGGAGCAGTGGAATGCTGCTCTGTCCTGGTCCCCAGGCCGGTCTCTTTTTCAGCCTCAGGGGCTAGCACAGAGAAAAATTGAAAAGAAAAAATGAAAAGGAAACTTGAGAACTAGAATGAAGAAAAAAGAAAATTCAAAGGCAATCTAATGTAAACTTCATGCAACTTTTCATATGCTTAAGCCTGAGCTGGAAAAAATAATTCAGTGAGGAACAGAATCCTTTTAACGTGCAGCAGGGAGAGCCTCTCGGGACATCCGTGGGATTAAACAAGGGTTTCTTGCACAACTGCTCCAAGGCAGACATGCTCTCCACATTCAAACTCGACTCTTTCTCTTCCCTTTTAGCTTTCCCTAGGGCTCAGGGAAATCTGTGAATTAGTATGTTTTTCTAAGTTCACTTTATTATTTTTTGTTTTACAGAATCCCAATATTTTCTATTATCAGGATAATTTTAAAACATTTTGAAACTTCATAAAGGTTGCCCAAGGGATTTTGAAAAAATTACAGGAAAACACAAATAATAGTGTTACTGGTAATATTGAAATGACAGATAAAGTATAGTATTTCTCCAAGAGAGTAGGAATTTATGGCTTAATTACCTAGCAAACCAAGACTGAAGAGGACAAAGCTAGCAGAATTTTTAGAGTGTCCAAGGGAGGAGATTAACAGAGGAAATGCTCACTTGCCTGGTACCATTGGGTGATCCAGACAGATCTGGAAAGTTCTGCTAGCAAAGAAATGATCAGATAGTCTGAATCACTTTCAGGAGCCTGAGAAATAAATTAGGATAGATTTTATTTTCTGCTCTCCTGCTACCCATACTATTTCTAATAGGAGTATGTCTCCCCTTGCAGGGAAAATAGAGCATTTGCTCCTTCAGGCTTCTTTCCCAAAGTGTAGCAATTAGTCTTTTGTTCATTCATTGAT